TCATCATCATCATCATCATCATCATCATCATCATCATCATCATCATCATCATCATCATCATCATCATCATCATCACCATCATCATCATCATCATCATTATCATCATCAAGTAGACATCAGCGATCATGGTTCTCCATTCACGTTACCCTGATTTTTTCCCGTTACCCATCTGTTTATATACTCTAGGTAGGTGGCTCTAGGCCTACCCCTGCCTCGTTTGCCTTCAATCTTACCATTGAGAGCTAGATGTTCAAGACCAACAGGCTACCTATATTAAAGCTTGAGTGTGAAAACAAGCATGTCTAAGTATTAGAACTGTTTAACCAAAGCAAGGTACCGGAATACACGAAAGAACACCACAAAAAAAGAAAAAAGAAATAAGGCCATACCATCACATCCACTCTCATCACTTCCATCCGCACAGTTGACGTCCCCGTCACATTTAAAGCCGAAGTCGATACAAGTTCCATCTGAGCATTGGAATTGTTGAAAGCTACACTGGGCTTTCGCTGTGCAGAAATAGAAACATTATCAGACTTATTATCAAGACAGATCGTTATGCCATACACGAGGTTGAAAGAACTTTACCCTTTTCCCCTATCATTCTGTTTGTAGAATACTGCCTTTGTAGAATGAGAAATGAAAAGTGTTTTTCTTTTATGTACCTCATATAATGTTTGTGTAAGGGGGAAACAATTATAAACGCTTATTAAACAACAACAACAACAATTCTATTGCCCCTTTCTAGTTCTTTTAAACTAGAGCAGTAGGGATTAGCGTATCTCTCACAACACCTTTGCTTGTTCGTAGATTCCAATAGCATTGATATTCTTTAGATTTCAGTTTTAGTAAGAGTTTTACGACACTTGCAACACAATAAGATCATATAAGTGCCGAAGCATTGATATTCAAGAAAACAGGCTGGTCTTCAAAATGTGTAAATAGACCAGCGAAAATGAGTTAAAAACCCACAACCAAACAATCACAGTATACCTTCACATCCACTCTCATCACTTCCATCTGGACAGTCTACGTCCCCGTCACATTTCTCACTGAGATTGATACAAGTTCCGTCCGAGCAGTTGAATTGTCCGGGGGTACATGGGACTTGAACTGTTGAAGAAACATTAGAAAAAAAACCCCAATTTCTTCACCTTTTCGTTACTGAGCTCACAGCGTCATTAGCAAGGTTGTATTTCTGTGATCCAGTTTGTCTCATACTGATTCTAGAATGTGTGACTCTTAACTCTTTAGGGACGTATCGGAAACATTTGTCCGACCAGAAACAGATCAAGCTGCAAGAACATACATCTACAAATATCCCTCAAAGAAAGGGCAAGTTAACACAATGTTTTAAGCATACAAAAAAGAAAGTATACATATTATAGACTTTAAAACAACAAAGTCGTACCAGGACAATTCCGCTCATCGCCACCATCGGAACACTCGCGAGCCCCGTCACATACCCATATGAGGGGGATGCAAGTTCCATCCGAGCAGGTGAAGTCTTCCGAGGTACACTTGACTTGAAGTGTAGTTTTTGAAAAAAAGGAAGAAAAGAAACCAATATTATCTTCATATTTTTTTCACTGCACTCACACCGTCCCCTGCAGGTTTGTAATTTTGTTATCTAGTTTATCTCGTATTGACTACTGAATATTGCAATTGTAAGACTATTGCTTTAAGCACAAGTTGTCACAACCACTGAAAGCGTACGTATGGTCATTTCTTTTGTATGGATGCGAGATCTGGCCTCTAAATAAGGACACAGAGAGAAGACTGGAGGCCGCCGAATTGTAGTACATGTATTCATTGAGGGTACTCATAATCTCATGGACAAAGTGGAAAACAAATAGAAAAGTGTTCCAAATGGCACTTTGTGAAAGATCCATTGTCAGAACAATCCGACACTTGCAACACAATAAGATCATACAAGTGGCGAAGCATTGATATTCAAGAAAACAGGCTGGTCTTCAAAATGTGTAAATAGACCAGCGAAAATGAGTTAAAAACCCACAATCAAACAATCACAGTAATAATGATAATAATAATAATAA